AAGACATACAAGTGGCCATATGAAAAAAATGTTCAACATCACTAATCATCAGAGAAATGCAAATCAAAACCACAGTGAGATACAATCTCACACCAGTCAGCATCACGATTATTAAAAAGTCAAAAAATAACAGATGCTGGCAAGGCGATGGAGAAATTGGGAATGCTTATACACTGTTGGTGGGAATGCAAACTAGTTCAGCCACTGTGGAAAGCAGCTTGGCAGTTTCTTGAAGAACTTGAAACAGAACTCCATCCGACTCAGCCATCCCACTACTGCGTATATATCCAAAAGAAAATAATTCACTCTGTCAAAAAGACATATGCCCTCATACTTTCATTATAGCACTACTCACAATAGCAAAGACATGGAATCCACTTAGGTGCCCTTCAGCAGTGGATTGGATAAGGAAAACAGTATATACATACACAATAGAATACTACACAGCCTTCAAAAGAATGAAATTATGTCCTTTGCAGCAACATGGATGGAGCTGGAGGCCATTATCTAAAGCAAATTAATGCAAGAATGGCAAATCAAATACCATGTGTTCTCACGTATAAGTGGGCACTAAACATTGAATGCCTCTTTATATCTTCATAGATATAAAGATGAGAACAACAGACACTGGGGACTATTAGATGGGGGAGGATGGGAGGGAGCAAAGGCCGAAAAACCACCTATTGGTTACTATGCTCACTACCTGGGTGACAGGACCCCAGACCCCAGCGTCATGCAATATACCCATGTAACACATTTGCACATATATCCTTTCATCCCTAATAAAAGTTGAAATTATTTAAAACAAATAAAAATACCTTCAGTCCTTACCAGTGCCTGCCCCATACAGAGGCACAGCTCCCTGTGTGTTGACGCTCCATGGGATCTTCTCACCATCAGCATGACCTTGACCTAACCAAGAATGATGCCAAGTCCAAAAGGGGTTGCCTCTCTGCATGTGTTTCTGTAAGAAAAGCCTGTTTCCCACTGTTGAGTAAGCTCCTCCAGGCCAGTCCTGCCCATCTACACACACTTGTGCCAGCTCTTTCCCCAGGTACACTCACACCTTATTCCCTTTGTGTGAGGGACTCAAATGACCCTCTTCCTGGTGAGGTCCACCATCCCTAAAAGTTCAATACACATCTTCTTCCCTTGCTCTTTTATTTTTTTCTCCTTAATTCCACTCCTTCTAACTCATTCTTTTCCCTTAGCTTGCCTGTTACCTGTTGGTCCCACTGAATGTAAGCTCCATGAGGGCTGAAATTTTTTATGTTTTCTTCATTCCCATATCCCCAAAGCCTGGAAGAGTGCCTGGCACCTAGTAGGTATTGAATAAACACTTGGGGAATAATGGAGTGATGTGTGATAGCTTGTTTTGATTTTCTTCCTCAAAAGCCTGACTTCCTCTAAATACCCAAATTAGGTTCATAAATGTCCTATCAGAGTAAATAGTCACCTGCCTCCTTGATGACAAATCTTGAAAGAATGTGATGAGTAACAATATCCTACAGGTAGAAAATGCTCCTCAGTCTCATCTGTCATCAAAAGTGAGTTCTTAAACAATAAATGAGGTATTTTTTTCTTCATTACATGGAAGAAATGGTAGTGATATTGGCTGGCTCAGTCCAAGGAAGTGGCAGGAATGTTTGGGGAAGGGCTGCTGGACTCCCCAGTGACCTTGCTGGGTCACCCTGAGCAAGTCAGAAAAACCCCAGGTTGATGGGGAGAGAAGCCGCTCACACCTGCTCATGGCTGGAGTTGTGATCCGTGGTCAGCAGTTGCTGGAAGCTTGAATTGTCCTGACCTGGTAGGCAGGAGGCATGTCGGTGAGATCAGGCCGTGTGGAAAGGAACCCTGAGAAAGGATCTGTTCAATGTTCGTAAATTCACCAAGACTTCATTTCACATCTGAGGAGGACATTGCTACTTTCTTGTTAAAACAGAGGCATCCCTGAGGATTTCATGTCAGGGTGCTGTTCCTCAGAGCAAGGTTGAAAACCCGTGAATTGGATGAGGACTATCTATGCATGATTCTAATTGAGAGAGAATTTGGGGGTTTTCCTTCAGCAGAATGAGGAAAAACTAAGGGAAGTAGAAATGTATTATCACACAGATCACTACACCATCTGACAACATCCAGTACAGACACAAAAATACAGCGATGGTCTTTGCCAGTGATGATCTGTTCTGTTCTCCTCTCCTACACACTCTGAAGTTTAAATCCTGGACTTAAACTGTTCTCATTCATCCTATTTGGATGGCAAACCCCCAAAAACCCAATGTTTTTGTCTTTGTTACTTTGAAAGGAATGAGATGGTGAAGACTTGTCTGAGCTTAGCAAATGGAGCTGCTCTCAGCTCTCCAATACCTGGGATCTGCGGACATTCTCTGCTCCCTTGGGAAACAGGGCAATTCATACTACTCTTGTCCAAGCTTTTCTTAACTGCTGTGATTCTTGCTATAAACCCTTCCTGAGACTTACCATTTATCCTAGGGTCTTTCCTAATTAATATTTTCTAGAAATCAGTCCCCTTCTAGAATGAACTGATAATGGTTTGTCACAGAACTGAGTTGCGTATCATTGAGTGAGAATGATGTTTCGTGTCCTAGATCAGGCCAAGAGACATAAATGTCCTAGGAAAACTCTCAAATACAGAAGTTTCCATCTGTACCTCCATGATATTTACTATTTATTTTTTTTATTTATTTTTGCAAAGTGAAGCTCTCTTAACTCCCTGTGTATGGTACCAATTACTTCAATATACTACTCTTCTAAATTGAAAAGACGTTATCATTTTTCTTGCGGACCATTGTTTAGACCTCGACAGTGTCGTTTTGATACCAGGAATAACCAGTCTGTCTGCCAAAGGAAGTTACAAAGATTTCGAGAGGAACCTTGTTGCACTGTGAGTGAGTCCTGGGGTGTTACCTTTGCCTCCATATAGCAGCACATTCGTTTATTAATTGATTTGTAGATTAGAATTATTAATATACTCCAGAGTTAATAGCCTGGGGTTGACAGAAAACACTTGGAGGGAAAGCTAATGCAGGAACAGAAAACCAAATACCACACGTTCTCATTTACAGGTGGGAGCTACACACTGAGTGCACATGGACACAAAGAGGGGAACAGCAGACCCTGGGGAAGGAAAGGACGGAGAAGCGCTCTGTGGAGAACTATACTTATTGCCGGGGTGATGAGATAATCTGTACACAAAACCCCATTAGCACACAGTCTACCTACATAACACGTCTGCACACGTACCCCTGAACCTACAATAAAAGTTAAATAAACTTCAAGGGCCGGGCATAGTGGCTCATGCCTACAATCCCAGCACTTTGGAAGGCCAAGGCAGGCGGATCACCTGAGCTCAGGAGTTTGAGACCAGCCTGGTCAGCGCGGTGAAACCCCATCTCTACTAAAAATACAAAAATTAGCTGGGCGTGGTGATGGGTGCCTGCAATCGCAGCTAATCAGGAGGCTGCAGGAGAGAATCACTTGAACCTGAGAGATGGAGGTTGCAGTGAGCCACTGCACTCCAGCCTGGGTGACAGAGTGAGACTCAGTCTCAAAAAATAAAATAATAAAGTTAAGAAAAACAATAGCTGGTCATAAAAAAAAATCTGTGGCTAATGACATGCCTCATATACGTGGGGAGAAAAGGGGAACTCACTTGGAGAGGATGGTGCAGTGTTATCAGCTGATCCTAGAAATCATTATCTCAGAAGTTCGCCAAGCTCAGTCATTAAGCGGCAGCTGGTCTACCATCATCAGGGAAATGTAGCAGCTTGTGCTGGTTTGGCCAATTGGTTGAGATCCAGTTCTAATGTCATCCTTATAAACGTCTCCATTGGGAGAGGGTGCTTGGGTTTGCTGGACAGCAGGCCCTGCTCCCTCTCTAAGTAATAAAACTTTCTGGGTTTCTGGCATGCTTATACCTTAATAATCCTTGCTGCCTCAAGCCATGGGAAAATGCATTTGTAAAAAGTGAGACACTCTGTGTATGTTGGATAACACTGGCTGCTTTGGGAATCAAACCTCAAATGCTCAGTGGGTTACCATATTAGAAGCGTGTTTTCCTTCTGTATGATGCTGTGAGGCTCTAAGCTGCAGGTGGCTTTCCTCCCTACAGCGAGTTAGGACTAGATGCCACGTCTGACTCTTCCATCTCCTAAAACCATGGGATACCCTAATCTCAGCTGGCAGATGGGGAAAGGAAGGATGTGAAGAAGGAATACTCATTTAAATACCATCAGCCAAAAGTGACCTACATCACTTTGGCTCATGTTCTAGTGCCAACAATTAGTCATACAGCCCACCCAGGTACATGGGTGCTGGGAAGCCCTTCTAGAGCACAGAAGGGGAGCATAACTTTGCTGGAGAGTTGGCTGACCCTGCTACGCCCCTTTGGTGCCCTGGAATTGAGAGGTAAGGGCAAGACCTGCATTTCTGGACCACCTCCCTTCTCTTACAGCCGTGCTGAGGGAGACAGTGATTTGACTTTTATAGACCTGAATGCCAATATGAGCAGCCTGTGCCCTATGGTGGAACCCTGTGTCCTTGGAACCGTGGAATTAATAAACACCATCGATTGTACTTTTTTCTTCTTTGTACTTTCCAATAAAGACATTGGTATGTGTTTGTATTACAAGCGACAGTCGCTAAGAATTCACTTTCGTTGCATCATTTCACCCAGAACTATTAATAATGTCTTTAATTAACGAGGTTCTGCCTGAACTTGTTGATTTGAAAACCATCAAAAGATCATTTATTTTATGATAAAGCACTCCTTCATCATTGGCATTGGCACTGTATAGGAATGAATGTCAGGATGAAACTGAATGTGCCTCGCTTTATACTGCATATCTGAGCCTTCATTCATTGAGATCACTAGTGAACACCTGGGCCGATGTGCCCAGCGGGTTCCTTCTGGGCACAAGAAGGGCAGGCAAAGCCATTCCATGCCCTGTGACTTACTGTTCTGGGCTCTCCTTTCTCAGGTACCCATTTCCCATGGTGTTCAGCAGCTGCAGCAAGAAGGACTTGGAGACGAGCCTGGAGAAAGGAATGGGGATGTGCCTCTTCAACCTGCCGGAAGTCAAGCAGTCTTTCGGGGGCCAGAAGTGTGGGAACGGATTTGTGGAAGAAGGAGAGGAGTGTGACTGTGGAGAGCCAGAGGTAAGAACCAGACTCCTCCGCCTCCTAAACCGTAGGATACCCTAATCTCAGTTGGCAGAACGAGGATGCAAGGAAACCTTGTATCTTTGCCTAGGCAAAGAAGAGAGAACGTGGAGGAATTGTACAGGCAGATGAAAGTACTGGAACTCAGGAAGAAAGAGTCCTATATGGCCACCCTGAACAAGCCCCATGAGCTAGGGTGGCTTTCTTGAATTTTAACTATTGCATGGAATAAATGATCACTTGGTTTAAATAGATAAATAATCCTCTCTATCAAAGGGTACAACATTCTCAGCAAGATGAGGACAAAAACAATGAAAAAGCATTTAACTTTGAGTCTGACAGAGAAGAAAGCCCTGGAATTCTAGCTTCAAATAGCTAATAAGCATCATTTCTTTCTCTTTGTGAGACAGGCTACCAGAGGGAAATCTGAGTAAGCAGCATTCCTTTTTCACCAAGAGCTTCCTGTCTAGTTAAAATGCTGCCTCACTGCCACAGACGCCTCTGTCTGCACAACTTGAGGCATTCTGCCCCTCGTGCTTGTAGCTTTCAGAAGCAATAAGTGAAGGCAGGGAACATTTTTATCTAGCACAGGGCTTATTTAACCCTGTTTTCCAGCCAGTATCAGGAAATGTCCTTGTTTTAATAGGGCCCAAGATAACATAAAAATTATAAAAGCCACTTTTTAATCTCTGAATAATCTCAAGAAGAGAGAAGACAGCTTGAGACCTCCTAGTAAAACAGGTGCCCCCTCGAAGTTTGGAGGAGGTTGTGTTTAGAATAAATTAAAGCAAGCCGTTGCACAGCTGGCAGTCTACATGTGGGATTCCCTCCTCGAGAGTTTCTGCAAGCTGAAATGGTCGACGAGTTCAAGGCAGGCTTAGCTAATGCACAGATGGACTTAACGAGGGCTTAGGAGAGCATCTCCAAGGGCTGCTCTGAAAGAGGGAATTTAGGGTGGAGGAGAAATCATGCTGAGACTCTGGAGCACCTGGTATATTCCTGTGTTCATCAAATACACAACTGGCAAACAGAATGTTCATCATTCCTCCATTTTCAAGTCTCTGAGATTTTGCATACCAGAAGGAATGAGCTTGGTCTGACAGTTTCTGCAAGAATGTTGGAAGTGTGTAATGTTGGGTGGGAATAAGGGGGGTGTGAAGTAGAAGTGGCTTCTTCTAATGCTTTTATGCCCTTGCCAAAGTCAGAACTTAACCATGATACTCCCATTGTCTGCCGGGGTGTTTAATTTTGCTCACAACGAACAGGGAGTGGTTGCTGTGTAGGAGCAAGTCCTAATTACAGTGCTACAGAAACCCTTTGTAAGATTAACAGAGGAAAACTTAAAACCATCATGGGTTGGGGTATGCAAAGGGAAAATTCCTTGTAGGCCTTGTTAATTACTTAAAGGAAAAAATGAATTAGTTTAAATTACTCATATTTCTCAGGAGAGGCCCTGTTGGCTTCAAATGGTTTGTCTTTGATTTGAACTTCTTATAATTGTTAATCTAAATAAATTTGACAGCTCTTCATGAAGCCATGAACTCTGGGGTTTGGAATGATTTTGTTAGCAGTCATTTGCTCCATGTGCCACCAGCAGCAGCCACACCCCTGCCACAGTCACGGCCACCATGGCTAACATTACCATCTCCACAGTCGCCACCCCCACCTCCTCCACCCAACATCATCACCCTTTCAATCATGAGCGTCATCACCGTCACGACCGCCCTCACTGTCACCCCACTGTTATTACCACTGCCATCTCCACAGCTACCGCCACCACCACGGCCACACCGGTGTCCCCATCACTACCAGCATCACTGCTACCAACCCCACCCCCATCATTATCCACCCCGCCACCATCATGTCAGCAAATGCTTGAGTGCCTAAAATGTGCCAGCCACTCATATTCTGATCCTCTCTCTTCTCTCCATGAAGGAGTCATGCAGCTTGGCAGGGTGTTGTCTCTGTAGGTTGGCATGTTGCATTATAGGGTAGCTTTGATTATTACAAACTCCTTCCTTGTACAGAGCCAAATTCTGCTCACATGCAGCTCCCAACGTTGTATTTCTGTGGTTAAGGTCCTCATTTTGTAGCATAACTTCTTGATATTTGAAGAGAACTCTCATCCTCCTCATCTAAAGTTCTTTCAAAATCACAGGTGAGCCTTTTGCCTCACTTTTTAGGTTTGCTTTTTTTTTTTATTTTTTGCTTTTCAAAAAATAATAGTTTCAAGTAGCTATTTGGAAATAATAGTTTCAATGTTCAAACTCAAATTGTGTTTGGCAGTGTGATAATCCATTTATAGTTTCCAAACTGCCTTGCCTAAGAATTTTAGGCAAAAAGACTTGTTAAGCTAGGTTCTTTATCCCCCTACCCAGAGCTGATGCCCTGGAATTATTCTGCATGCCCTTGCATCAGGTCAATCTGGGCATTCCCTGGCCCACAGAGGGACCCAGTCTGTTACCACATCAGGGAAGGAGTGAATAGGATCCAAAAAACTTCTGCCAACACCAAACAGAACCCAGCTTCTCCCTTGCTCCCAGAAGTAACCTCTGTTATTTTCAAGAAGATGCCTTCCAGTCTCCTCCCAGTTCATTGTGATTAAGAATCTGTGTCTGCTATCTACAGGCTGAGAATGACAATCAGGGCTTTGCAGAGAATTCTCTAATGGTTTCATTTTTCTTTCTTCTTTGGAGACTTGGTATTCATTGGCTCTGTTGGACTTCTCTATTCAGGACTAAAATAATAAATGTAGCAGCAGATGAAGAATGTGTCTCTTCTGAGAAATATGGTACTGCAGAAGAAATAGATCCTGGGTGGTTTAAAGGCACGTTGATTGCTGAAGCCTTCTCGGACAGGGCACTGGATTCATATCAACATAAGGAAATCCTGACAATTCACTCATTCTTGCAGCTAACAGGATTGGGGAAGCCACCTTATCTCCTTGTTTAAAGTCAGTAGGATGCCAGTAGCTCGCAAGTATCTTTAAACTTAGTTATCATTCTCACATTATCATCCCCTTTGAAGTCAAAGCCATTTGGCTTGGCTGCATTTCCATTTGAGTTGCTGCTTATATTACTGGGTGATTTGAGAGAGAGGGGAAGATATTTCTTATGGAATTTTAGGACCCAGATTTAGGTTGGCTGATTTAACATGGAATTTCAAGAAAACCTGTAATTTGGTAAATGTGTCATTCATAGAGCCATTTAGACCATAAGGAACAGGATAGCATTGGTGCATATTTGATGGCACTGATTTTAAAATGCAATTAATGGACTACATTAAAAAAAAACGAAAGTCCCTAAACTCTTTTAGAATTGTAAGTCCACAGGTTAGAAACCCTTACTTTCATAAAAGTTACAGCCATGTCTTCTGGTTGACAGTTTTATCTTATTGTATATTTCACACATTCTGGATGTTTATACAGTCCTCAAGCAGATTTAAAATTTCATAACTTTGGACGTATGTATAATAGAAGCAAATGGAACATCAAATGAGAGCATAATTCGTAGAATTTTACACAGGATACAGTTTCAGTATCTAGGTTTGTCATAAATCTTCTGGATTATTGACAAAATTTTATTAATTACATTTATAAAACTCAAGAAAGATGGTTTTCAGGAGTAAAGTATTATATTATTAAACTTGTGTATGATTAGCTTCACCCCAGCCAATAGTATATGAATTTTTCAGATCATAGCATATACTGAATAAAATAAAAGAACATTGATAGATTACCCAGTGTTAAAGATCCATGAACTGTTCCATCTTATGATAATTACATTTCTTCTAAAATGTGTAAACTCCAAGTTACTCGAATGTTCTAAAGTACAAGGGCTTCACTTGATAAATGTGTGCAGGCCTTATGCTGAAAACTAAGCAAAAAAATGTCAATCTCTTGTTTGTTTTTGTTAGGAAAAAAATGGAAAAATGGGTACTCATGAAGCACAGCATTATAAAGGAGTTAATTTTGTTTCAGAGAGGACAACGCATTGAATGCTTGATCTATCCATTTAAATCCCTTGCAAATCAATGGGCACAGCCCATATGCCTCCTTCCTTGGTTGTTGCAATGTCCATTTCTGACTTTCCGAGTGATGGAATTGTCAGACGTGACAACTTACCTGGGCTGCAAAAGGGTCTCATCCACCACCCTGGTGGGGACGCAGGGAACGGTGGTTGAAGCCTTCGGTTTGACTTCATTTCGTGCCAGTACTCTCTAGATCAAAAGGGTTCATTTTCGAAGAGTACAGATTGTATGCATCTATGTATATTTTGATTAAGTAATTTCAAAGTCCTTCAGGGATCCTGAGGCAGTCCATTGCAATGAGATCCACCTGGAGACCCCTCTTCAGAGCCCCAGTGTACTGCTGACTAGAGTGACATCCCCAACTGGCCAGCCTCTGTCACAACCCCTTTACCTTACATGAGGGCACCTGTACGCTTCTTCCAGGGACTCATAGACCAGTTGGTTGATAAACAGCAGAAGCTTTGGTTTCCTTTCAGAGGGAAATAATCGTCAGGCGGGTGCGCAGTTCTGGAGCTGGGCCCTCTTGGTCTTTCTTCCGTTCTGCAGCCATTTGAGGTGTGATGTTTGCATTCAGCGAGCGGTTACCTCCATAAGACCCTGTCAAACAAACCCATTCCCCTCTCCAGGAATGTATGAATCGCTGCTGCAATGCCACCACCTGTACCCTGAAGCCAGATGCCGTGTGCGCACATGGGCTTTGTTGTGAAGACTGCCAGGTAAGTCACTGGAGCTGCAACTTGACCCCCAGGTCACCAACAGGTTCAGGTGGTTCAAATCTGATGCAGGGCGAGCAGTGCGGCTGGAAGGTTCCCAGCACTACCCACAGCACTCCCCATCCCTCCTTCTCAGGCCAGTTGGCGTTACCCACCTCTTAGTATCGTGCAATCTTCAGGTGAAATGCACGCTTTAATTGCCAGTCACCTGTGTTTACTTACGGGCTGAAAACTCATGAGACCGAAAAACCCCCGTTCAGCTTTCAGTGTTCCCTGTGTGCTGTCAGAGGCACGTATGGTCCTGCTATGCTGACAAGAAGAGCAAGGCAAGATCAATTCCCCACCCACCGTCACTGAGGCTTCCCCAGGTTCATTTTCTTGATCCCTTGAACGTCTGCCTTCTGGGTTGTCCCAGAAGTTTTGTATAAACAACTCAATCTTAGTATCCTCCCAAAAGAAGGTGCCACCGACCCAGCCCAGCCAAGAATGACAGTTTTATGCTCTTGCCATCGCTGCTGGCTAGGACTGCGTTTCTTTTGGCAGTTCCATTGTCTCGTTATTCAGAGCTGATATCTGACAGAATAGAAGCCTGAGCTTTTGATTCAACATTTCCAAGGGTAGAGTTTTATTTCTTTTTAATTAAGCAATTGATCCTGACATTCTGCTTACAGGAAACTCCCTCTTAGCTGCCACATGTGAGCACGGTGATTTAGAAGTGCATTACAACATTTAATGTTCGGCTTTAAAATATCCTTCATCCCTTCCTAATGGTGATTAACTTATGGGAAATGTTATTAGCAGCTGGCTCTCCCTGGCCCCCAGGCAACTGGTGGAGGAAGGTGCCTGGAAGGGAGTTGCAGAAGGGTGGAAGCAAGTCTGAGCCTGTGCCCAGGGGATGCCCAAGTAATGGGAGGGAGGACCACGGAGCAATCCCTGGGTGTCACCCACTTTTAGGTTATGACTTTTCAACAATTCCCTTCAACTTCCAGATCTTCTAGAAGTTGGCAGGGGTCTTATCTCTTTACCTTTGAGGAGTATGCAGGGAACCAAGCCCAAGACTCGTGGGGGTCCCTAGCTGTGCAGCCTCAGGCCACTCTGAGCCTTAATTTCTTCAACCACAAAAAGCTGAGCCATGGGTCAGATAGCTCCTAACATCCTTTACCCCTCCCTTTTTCTTCTCCTCTTCTCCCCATAAAACAGTAGAGGGAGAGTTCCAGTTCTATGATCTGATGACAAAGTAAACTTGCTATTGTGATTGTGCCCTTAAAGTTATTTTTATTAGCTTGCCCACAAATGCTAACACTATAAATGCAAATGCCCCCTTGAGACGTGTGATGGTGTTGACACCCAGAGACCTTTTTCTTAAGAATCAGCCAGCCCAGCAGCCAACAATTCCCTCCCTCTTCTTCCCCTGAGGTGCCAAGTGCCAGCAGCCAGCGTGCGTGCGTGTTCCTCAGAGAACCCTAATGTTGTGAGACATTAAAGAGAGGCTGTTCTTGGTTGTGCCACTCACTTTATAGTGGGACAGTGAACCCCAGAGCCCAGAGCGAGAATCTGATTTAATGGGCTCTCTTTACATTAGCAGGGACTTCCTTTGAACTCCCCACCCCTTTATGTGGGACTTTAAGATGGCCTTGTCCGCTCCACCCCTGGAGTGCTGCTGAGAGCTGCCTGTCCCTTTCCCTGGGTACATGTGCCATAACCAGCCCTCTCCTTCCAGCTGAAGCCTGCGGGAACAGCGTGCAGGGACTCCAGCCACTCCTGTGACCTCCCAGAGTTCTGCACGGGGGCCAGCCCTCACTGCCCAGCCAATGTGTACCTGCATGACGGGCACTCGTGTCAGGGTGTGGACGGCTACTGCTACAATGGCATCTGCCAGACCCACGAGCAGCAGTGTGTCACCCTCTGGGGACCAGGTACGTGGCCGCCGTGAGCTTGGCATCAGGAGAGGCACTGGCAGACCTGGGCTGTGGGCCTGGAGGTGTGTGCTTTGTTTTGGTGAGCCCCCACTCCTGGCGGGCACTGTCCACACAGCATCCACTGTGTTCACTCGGGAGTGATTGGCTCCCAGGGAGAGGCTGAGGCACACTGGATATGGGGTGTGCAGAAACGGACACTGCCTGGAGCCTGGCCTTAAGGAGCTCAGTACAGTCCAACAGGAGATGCAGGAGCACCTACTATGTGCCCATGGGATGACAGGGATGAATCGCCGTGACTCCTGCCCTCAGATAGCACAGCACATAGTCAGACAGACAGAACTTCCACACCACCACTGAGATTTTAGTAATGCCCCTTTGTACTCAAAAGAGGACCCCAACTGAGTGAGGGACCCAGGGCTCCATGGGGAAGGCCCTGATCAGACTTGAAGCATGAGCACATCTGTGATCAGAAGGCCTGGGAGCAGTGAGTGGCTCTCAAACGGGAAAGTGGGTGGTTGAGTCAAACAAGAGGCCCCCAATTCACCAGTTCACCAGTTCAGGCTGGGCACTTGGTGCAGATTGCCTCTTCTGACCCTCCAACAAGCCCCTCAGTTGGGGACTGTGAAGTTTTACAGAAGATGATGCTCAAACTGTAAGACCAAAAGTCAGTTTCCCCACATCTCCAGGCTAGGATTTAAACCTGGGTCACTGTGACCCCGTGCCCATGTGTTACTCCCACAATGCACAGTCACCCCAAAGAGGGAGGTCTTGCTCTAAAACTCCTCCATGAAACAGAAGCTCAGATGCAAAAGGCAGGAGAATCCATCCCCTGTGTGTCTCTCCTCCATGCCCCACTTCCTGGGGTCAGAGATCCAAGGCCTCACTGGGCAGCCCTGGACTCCAAGGCCCCGTCACTCCAGAACCATCTGAGATTCAGTGCCTGTGTCCAGCTCCCACGAGTCCAGCCGCAAATCCACAAATGAAGCCCCACCCTGTCCTGCAGTTCTCTTTCCCTTGTGGTAACGTGGTCGAGTCCTTTGTCACTCCCTCCTCCCGCAGGCTGCAGGAATGACCTCAGCCCTGGCCAGAGACCCCAGCTCTGGCAAGGCCGCTGTGGTCGGCCAGGCCCAGGCTGAAAGCCAAGCAGACTCAGGCAGGATCTCTAAGAGGAGAGAAACCTGATAGGACCTTTGTCAGACTTTTGTTGTGAGGCTTTGGTTTTAGGAGTGATGAGGGAAGTAAACGGGAACAGAAAATGATGACTCAACCTTGAAGCTAGGGTTTTCAATAGAATGTGAAAGCCAAGACCGGACACAGAATACAAGATGGATGTTTCTCGGAGCTGGGTCCTGCTGGGAGGCCCATGACCCCTGCCAGCCAGCGATGCCCTCTGTACTTGGAGCTTTCTGGGGGAGAAGAAAGGGGGGAGACTGGTGGCAAGGAAAAGTGCAGGCCTCTTCAGCTCAGCTATGAGGAGTTGTTCCGATGCTCCTCAGTACTCAGGGATGTGCTTGGGCAGGTGGGATGGGGAGGCCTGCAGGTCCTGAGCCCTTCCTGCTTCATCCTTAGACTCTGAGCAGCCCTCAGTCCTGGCACCATCGCCTGCTGGGCCTTGGGGCCCTCTAGGCAAAGCAAGGGGCGGGGGGGGGGGGGCAGGGGAACGCCCTGTTGCGATGACAATGACTAAGCCTGTGCTCGCTATACACATTGAATGGTGTTTGGGCTTGTTTAGTGACTTTAGGCACCGTTTAGCCAAGTGAGGTCACGTTGGGACTGTGGCTACTGCCGCAGGCCAGATCTTCATGGCTTTGGGCATCCCTAGAAGCCCTCCCCTTCCCAGCCTTTCTCCAGAATCAGCAGTCTCCTTTTCTTGGGTTACAAGGGCCGTGATGAAGCTCCTTTCCAAAAAGCATTTAGTGGCCAGAGCACACACAGCACTTGGAGCTTTGGGAGTGAAATGTGTTCCCTGCTGCATTCGAACATCTGGCCCCACTTCCAGAGTGAGGTCAGATGGAACACAACAGCGCTCTCCGAGCCACCCCCACTGTGTGACTCAGCTGGCTGTATGCCTCTGATTCATGGTGACCAAGACTGGTATTCATTATCTCATCAAACTAGTCCTTCTGCAGCTGCCTAACCAGAAAGAGAACCAGACAGGCAGACAACCTGACCCACAGACTGAGCTTTTGAAAAGCAAGAGCAATGGGAAGTCACCTGCATGGACTCTCATCATCCCCATGATGGAGGGGGAGGCTGGAGGTCTGAGTGCCCCTGGGTAGCCACATCCTCTTCCTTAGGAAGGGGCTTCCCTGGGAGCTCCCGGCTTAACTCTGCTCTTTCCCACCCCCTCTCCCTGGTAATCAGGAGGCCTTTGCTGGGGCGGTGGTGGCCAGTGTTGTACATGGCTGCTGCACATAGCGTGGCACATCCATGGCATCCGGACTGTCGGTAAAAATGTGTTTTGGTGAAGAGACTTCATCTTTGAGGAGACAGCTCAGAGTTCCTGGAAGCCACAGCACAGAGACCAGGCTTGGGGAGCCACCTTGGGCTTGTGACATTCTGGGTTTTGGTCTGTCCTGCCTGCCTTTTCGCAGGTCTTCAGATCATTATACAGACTTCCTCCAGAGAACAGAGTAGAGAATACCGCAACCTGCTGTGGCCCGGGAGCTCTTAGAATGGGCCGTCGACCACCTCCTTCAGGAGTGCAATGTGCTCCTTCCTTCCCATGTCAGTGTTTCTGCCTGGTTTCCATTTACAGGCAATGTGTGAGTTTCCCACGGCTGCTGCAACAAATTAGCACAAACTAATAATGGCTTACAAATTCTTCACCTTACAGTTCTGGAGGTCAGAAATCCTGAAATCAAGATATTGGCAAGGCAACATTGCTTTGGGAGGTCCTAGTGAGAATCTGTTTCCTTCCCTTTCCCAACTTTTAGAGGCCACTTGCATTCCTTGGCTCACGGCCCCTTCCTCCATCTTCAAGGCCGACAGCACCGCATCTGCAGATCTCTGTCCCTTTCTGACTTCTGCTTCTGTAGTCACATCCCTTTCTCTGATACTGACTCTCCCGCCTTCCTCTTATAAGGACCCTTGTGATTCTAACAGATTCACCTAGATTTTCCAGGGTGATCTCCCCATCTCAAGATACTAAGCAGAATCACATCTTCAAAGTTCCTTTTGCCATATCAGATAACATGTGCATAGGTTTTAGATAAGGACATGGGCCTTTTGGGGGAGCCACAGGCATTGGACTGACTAGCAAGGGACCTTCTGCAAATTGCTCAACCGTGTTGTGCTTCATCTGTAAAATGAGGATAATGATCTACTACCCCATGGGTCTGTTATCCTCTAACATAGCCTATAATCTATTCCATGTAATATATGTGATTCTGTGCTACATGCAGAACTCCTAGTAAATCTAAGCTCTATAAATAAGATACAACTGCGCTCCCGAGAGGCTCAGGCTAGTGAGCAAGATACTCAAATCCTTGGGGTCTATAAAATGGGCAGTAAGAGGGTCATGGGCCAGTTATGTTGGGCTGGAGGAAAGCAGCTAACTAGGAGGTTCTGAAGACAAGATTGCCCTGGAATAGTGATTTGCCGAGGGTGTAAGAGGGGGGTTATTTCTGGTATACAGAATAGCACAGATCAGGGCACACAGGGACAGTGGGGCCAACCAGGGCAAGTTCAGGTAGTTCTGTGTGTGCACAGCTTGGGCTGTGACCTGGAGAGCAGAGATCCTCATGTGCCACACCATTCTCTCATTCATCAAATATTTGTTGACATCCTGCTATGTGTAAGATGCTGACTCAAGAGCACCGACTCTGCCAGAGTGACACACTTCCCACAGTCCCTGTGCACTCCTGCCTGGATCTGGAGTGGAGTGCGGATGTGAATCCATCACAGTATCCCCCAGAGGCACGGATCCCGGACAAATGCAGTCCTGGGAGCAGCAGAGGTGACTTCCTCAGCCAGGCCCCTGACCAGCCAGATACACCAGGTTGAGAGCATTTCAATGCTTTGTTATAGTGGTTGGTTTGAATTCGATTTTCATGATTCAGAAAGGAAAACTTATTGTCAAGTTTGCATTTGCAATTTTTCCCCACCCAGGAGCAGATGATTCAGGATCTGGATCACGTATGCTCTGGGGTCATCGTAGGCCTCCTGGGAAGCACAGGAACTCAGAGCTCTAGGAGTCTTTGAGTCCTTGCCTCACAGGCCCTTGACATTTGCACCACAGTGACCTGGACAGCTTGCTGAGTCGCCCAGAATTCTCCAGTTACATTCAGGATGTCCGTTACTCACCCTCCAGAGCTGGAGACCTAAACACTTACTGGAGGAAGCCCTTCCTTCCAACTAACTACTCCCTTTTGAAATGGGCTTTTCTCAATCTGGCATTATGTTTCAATAAAATAATACTGCTTCCAAATCTTTCTACAAATAAAACAATAGAAAATTCAAAACATATGCCTGCAACTTCTAATTGGCAAAGTAATATACTTTCAGAATGCCTTTTGGGGTTTTTTGTTCATTTATTTGTTGTTCTCTAATTGTTTTTGTTATTGATAATGCACGTTCTTGTTGGCTAAGCGTATAGTTTTTTTCTTACTGATTTTTGTCCCACAAACCTTGTATCTCAAGACTTCCCATGTTGATTTCAAACACACAACTGTTATTCACAGTTCAAACTGTGTGACTGGCATTTAGCTGTCTTTGTCTGGTTTAGTCTTAATATCTACAAAGATTTTCTGTCACTGTGACATCTTTGCTCCTTTTGAAATATAGCTAGGTATTTTTATTTGGGTAGCAAATTTACTTTTACCAATGTTGTTTGTCAGAACCACTAGCATGGTTACTTAGAAACATTCCTTAGCAATTAATCTCACAGATAACTACACATCTAGGGTCACAAACAATTGGCATCAGAGAATTCCCAAAATGTGTTAGGTTTTTTTATTTTATCACTCACCAGAATCCAGTGTCCTTTGATTTCTGCA